AAGGGTTTTTTATTTTTTCAATCTGCTTATATGAGCAACTTGGTATTCAAATTTCTAAGTAGATTTCTGTAGTTATTTGGTAATATAGTAGTAGTGTCTATATTCTGTTTAGATATATATTGTTTATTAGAAATTATATTCTTTTTGTAACAAATCTAATAGAGAGAGTCTAATTAATATATAGTAGAATATAATTATTAATAAAGTTATTTATATTAGAAAGTATAAGATCTTTTTTTTTAGCAATTTAGTTGATTATTTTTTTTATAATATTTCAATTAGATATTGATTGTAGTGATATTATAGTATATGTATTACTAATTCAAGTATTTTACAATATCTAAAATATAAGTAATTCTTGCATATTATATAGGTTTTCTGTAGTATAATATTATATATATTAGTAGTTTGTTAGCTATAACTTTTATTTTAAAGTTTTTTTGTTTTGATAGTACTGGGTTTGTATATAGTGATAAATATAAGTCTTTAAATAATAGATATAGAAGAGTTAAATTCTAGTTAATATCTAATATACTTTTGTCTTATTTGAATATTCTGTTTTAGTTATACTAATTAGTTCTGTAAAATATATTATTAAAATTTTTTAGTATATGTTTGAATGAGAGTAAGCAAGATATAAAGTTGAAGCTAACTATATATCTGTTTCTAATATATTTTTAAGAGTAACAATTAGTTTGTATATAGTATTAAGTAGATTATATTAGTTAAAATAGAAATATTTAGTACTATAACAATTAGCAAAAATTTAGCATATAACAACAAAATATCAAAAAAATATTAGCAAATAACAATACTTAGAAAAAAATTTTTAATATAAATACTGAATATTATATTTTTTTAGTTACAATATTTAGCAAAATTATAATTAGTATTTCAATATTTGTATAAATACTAAATATTGCAATTTTTAAAAGACTATATTCATCTTTAAATCAATTAAAAATCAATAAAATAAATATTACTATAATGATATTTATAAAAAAAAATAAATATTATTTCTTATTAAAGTATAATATTCAGCTTTATATCACTAAAACTCTGTTAAATATAAAATATTAGCATATTAATATATATAATTTATAACAATCATTATATATTATTATATGTAGATATTGGCATTATAATATTTCTAAAATAATAAATGTATACAGAATAGAACTACAATTAGACAAAAAAAAATTTATCTACTCCATATATAATAACCAAAGACTAGAGGTCTTTAACCATACTATCAAAATATAGGTCACGAGTAAATTAGCTCTTACCTCTAACCCCATAGAATAGTTATATGCTTGCTTGTACAGCTAAATAAAATTTATTCAATAAAGTGTTAGAGGAAAGACCTCTCTTTAAAAAAAAAAAAAAAAAATCAATAATTACTTAAATGGCGTAAGAAAAAAAAAAAAACGTTACGTACAACAAAGCTCCAAGTGTTATTGTTTGTATTATATATAATTAACTTTTCGAAATAAAATTAGGTAATACAATATTTAATTAATAATGAATATACATTTTAATATCATACCTCTTTCATTAAATTGGTTGATATAGGACAACCAAATTTTGTGATACTCAAATATACCGTATAAAATTGATTCATTAAATAATGTTGCACTATAACCTTAAGTGTTAAGTATACATTATTGGACAGACGACAAAAAATAACAGGCAATTTTTTTTTGTCGGAGTTAAGTCACTCCATGTGTTGCGTAGCAGCACATGAGTGAAATTAACTCTAATGAAAAAAAAAAAATTGCCTGTTATTTGTCGTACGTATGTTCAATAATGATGTTATTGGATAGTTAATATGACCATGTGAAGTTTTTTCTGTGATATTTTGCAAAACTGATTACGTAATTTCATGCAAAAAATATCATGGCAAAAAAATTCACATCGTCATATGAAATGTCGAATAATATACGATATTGGAGGCAATGTAGACCAATATAAATATAAGTCATCTAATATATTCATAGCACTTAGAGATTTATTTCCACCGTAAATTTATTTTTTATTTTTTAGGTTAACACAAGGAATATCTTGTAGACTGCCTAGATAAGGAGGTATGGATCCAGAAATAGTTGGTGTAATCCATTGTTGCGTTGTGATATCAAATCGGATAATTGAACTATCTCAAGAAAAGTCTCCACGAATATAAAATTTTGCAGTATTAAAAATCCCATCGACAAGCTGATGCTCCAGTTCGGTTTGTTGTGCCTCTAATTGAAGAAAGATCTGTCCAGGGCATTAAAGATATATCGGATATGCTAAAATTCATTGAAATATTAAGAAATAATAGCACGTTATTAGCAAAGCGTCTAGCAGTAGAAGATTGATTTTGAACATATCCACCATAAAAATACAATTTTTTATTAATAAGAACTGCATTATGTTCTGCTCTTCCCTCAAAAACTATTGAATAAACACCTTTAGGAACAGAATAGAAGAAAATAATAATTGACACTACAATAAATATGCAGTTCATTGGAATTCATAAATTTAAAATTTTGAAATAATTTCATGAATAAATCAAAATTAAACTTTGAAATAATTTCTTTCATACTTACTTATAGTTTAAAAAAACTTTATTCGAGAATTATCGTACGTTTGTCGTACAAGTAGGGATGTAGCCAAACTGTTTGGTACGTACGTACGGTGAAAACTACGCGATGAATAGTATTACATTTGTTTTTTTTTTTTATTTATTGTCAAAATTTCTTGAGACTAATTATCACTTAGTTTGGGTAGTCCCAAACAATTTGAGTACACAAGTTTCGTCGTATTATTACCGTATACCTGCTTACAGTATCCCCGAATACTTCATAAAGTACCCTTCTCCATCAATCAGATTGCTGGATTCGTGATTACGTAGTACCCAGTACTATTAAAGTTTGAAAATGAAAGTTTTGAATAAGATCTTGAGTACTGTAAGCAATGCTAAACGGTAGCTCCGAAAATAACTCTACCCTACTTTTTTAAATCTCATATTAGCGGGAATAATTTGGCTAAATATTTCGTTTTTATTTCCGCTAATCTGTATTCAAAAATTAGGGTAGAGGAACTATACGACTATACTATAGATATTAGATTTGTATAACTTTACACGTACTGTATTTAGCGATTAGGCGAAACTTTTTGAGTGATGAAGGATGAAAAGCGAAGCCTCAAAAAATCCTAATGAAAAAATAAACCCAAAGAAAATGTTTAGCTACAGTTGTTAAACAAAGACATTTATGTTAGTAACTTTGTATTATACCAGATATGTGACAATAATTTTACACAATACATTTCATATAAATGGATTTCATATAAATGGATGAATCTTCGGCTTTTATTTCATTTTGTAATAAAGTTTATTTTTTTAATTATAATTTGCAATTAAATATTGCGTATAATTGTTTATTATATACGCAGACATGAATTAGAATTATTATAATAATAAATAAGTAAAACTGTATAAAGTGTGCGATAGTTATAAATATTGTCGACATTAAAGAATAAATTTAAAGTCCTCGCTGTCTAAAATTCTAAAGATTCTGTTCCTTCTTTACGGTAACCATCAATTATCATAGCATAATAAACCTTTAATAAACAAAATTTAAAGATTAGCTAATTGTGTTATTGAAAATTCATGAAAAATTAGATAAATCAAATTAAATATACCACTAAAATGATCTCAAAAAATATTTATAAAGATAGATGATAATAAAAGACAAAGATAAACAGCATTACAATTCTGAGTGTTAATATTATCGGTGGTTTGTTGACAATTGCCTATGATAATCTTATTATATGTTACAATAATAACAATAGTATAAATAAAACTTAAAGTAAAGATAATTGAAAAGGCATAAATAATTCGAGAATAGTGCTTTAAGTAGTGTTTTGATAAGTCATTATTATCATTGTTCTCTTTCTATATATTTTGCAAAAAAAAAAAAAAAAGACTAATTCAATTAATTCGTAATTGCAAAAATTTAATACTATAATAATAATAGTTACATGCCATATTAATAATGAAACATCCAATAAAAATTACTAAGCATAATATAGAATTCAAACAAGAGTTATAAATAAGATATCGATAATTAAAACTTATCTCAATAATTGCTAACAATTTTGCACGATAAAAAATTTAAACAAGTTATTGGAAATTATGAGACCTACACTTACCTATTGTTGCTATTGCATTCCATTGAAAACAGGTTATAAACTTTTGTCATTTTTTTTGTTGGAAAGTATCACTAAATTTTTTTAATTTATGAATTATGACCTTTAAACCATCTAAGTATTAATAATTATTTAAAATCTAGTCCTTAGGAATATGTTACATTGTCGTAGGTGTAATACAAACTAAAAATGAATCTTCCTGTAAGCCCTATTATTATTATTTTTTATACCTACAATCTTTTTTAAAAAAAAATCTTTCTTATGTAGCCAATTTATTTATTCATCATGTGGGATACGGAAATGGTGCCGGCTTTTTAATGAGTCGAAACATTATGATTCCACCGGCTACAACATCTTCAAAACATTCAGACAAACAAATTAATCCAATAACGGGTCAATACTTTGAGGATGAAGCACCTTCATTATCTGATATGACAGACGAAGACAGAGAAAGAGAAGCAGAACGATTGTTTGTATTGTTTGAAAGGCTTAAAAAAACGGGCGTTATGGATGTTGTTAATCCTGTGGAAGAAGCTGTGAAATCTGGAAATTTTAATCAAATTATAGATGAAGAAGAAAAGGAAGAAGACGATTAATTAATAGCAGATAGATAATTTTTTTTTTAGATGTTAATTGTTTATTAGTATTATAGATAGTTTTGTAGTATATCAATTTGTAAAATTGTTATCAAAGTTTATTTAAAATTTTGGATTTTTAAATCTAATTAAAAATTTGAAGTACTCAAGTAATTATTTCATACCCATAACTGCTGTAACTTAAATTCTTTTTATCTAACTAGCGAATGAGATAAATGAAAAATATTATATTAAAAGAAATGTGTAAACGACTTTACGTTCATGGTTACAAAATACAAGTGACTCGTTATAATAAAGTCTTCGGGCTGGAAAAAAACAAATTCTTTACTATAGCTTATAACGAGAGATTACTATATCGAGCTGAAGTTTAATAATACTGTAATTTTATCGAATCTTTACTATATTGAGAGTTTACTATAATGAGAGTGACTTGTATCATGCAAGAATAACACTTAATGAAACATAAAAAGAAAATCATACTTTATTAATGATAACTTTTGCAGTAGACAGCAAACTCGTTTTATTATTAATACAGTTATATTTATTATACAATTTTAATTTGACATATTAAAATTTTAAATTTATTTATTCATCGTAAAAATGAAAATAAACTACAAAAAAACTTTAATTTCTTATTAAAGAGATATACAGTAATTTATTCAACACAAACGAATTCAACCTAGTATAAAAAAAAAAAAAGTGTGTAAGTATTAAAGTAACCAAACATACTCCGGATATGACACGTCAACAGTCAGTAGCGAGAAAATATTTTAGTATTGTTAAAGAATTCCTCAGCATCCTGGATATAAATACCCAACACTCTTTAACAATATTAAAATATTCACCCGCTACTAATAGAAGTGATATCCGGAAGTAATAACTGATCAACAATTAATAACACCATAGACACTCACTCATTTTTAAAAGTGAAAGTAATAAAGTACAGAATAGTAAGAAAAAGGTCACTTATATACTTTTTTGAGATCTACAAACATATCGATAAACTGTAACACAAACGCGTATAAATCAGACGCGTTTTCTTATTTACTCGGCTAAAGCCAGGTCTGATCTACATGTCGATATTGTATTTTGTCCATAAAAAATGCCTTTTTTGATGTATCTCCGTAAACATTAAGATCATTTTTTGTAAGTCCGCATGCGTGTCTAAATTTGGTATTTTAGTGTAACAGAACATGCATATTTACGCGTCTGTGTAATATGATAATTATCATGTGCTAAGCTTCGAACACACAATACCTAGTATCTATACCTACTAAATTCATCAAAAAAACTAACCCTAACGAGACGTCCCCCGATAAGAAAAAAAAATAAAAAACTTGTCCCTTAAATTTCACCTGTTATTATTAGCATAAAATTAAGATGTTAGATATAGATCAGTTATTTAATGGTTAAAGAAGGTTGAATATAAGTTTCAATTTCTTATATTAATGCTGAATCATGCATAGTATAAACTAATTTAGAATCATTTTACAATTAGGACAGGTGGTCGTATTCTTTTTGAATTTTTGCTTCGTCATGTCATTTTTCCATTTCTAACAAAAACGGGACTATTTTTCACAGAAAACAGCAAAATTCGTCAAAAACAGTTAAATGTAGAAATAGATCTTAATCGCAACAGAATACTACAGAATGACACCAAATAGCACAGAATCCCTTCCCCAAAAAAATAGTATAGTCAAAACCGAAATGGGTGTTGGTAGAATTAGAGTTAGAATTTAGAGGAAGATATATTTATAATGATTTATCCACGAAATGGGCTTGTCTACGAATTGGTAGTTATCTGTAAAATAAGTTTGTCGGTAAATTAATTATCAGTGAGCTAAAGTAGCTGAAGTGATAATTAGTGAACAGTAATTTTGTTTAATAGCGATAGAATAAATTTTGCATTTAAGTTCTGGTTTAAGTATTTTCATGAGAATTATTTTTTAAAAATTAATGTCTCAAATTTCAAACTAATGTTCGTATCGACCATTTTTTTTAAAAAGGAATATTCTCAAATTAGATATACTGTAATGTTCTAATGAAGTTTTTAAAGTTTTGTACTAATAAGCTCGATACCTTCGTTATAGCAAGGTTATACTGACTTTAACAATTATTCAAATCTTATTCTGAATCAATTACATTGAATTATCAACTATTAGAACGACAAACAAAAAAGTTTTTAATTTTAGATTTAAACCCAATGACTTAACTTTATTTTAATTAAGAATTCATTATTGGTTGCTTCGCATCCAATAACTATAGTATCCAAACTTTATGACAGGAAATGTCTTTGGCCAAAAATTTTTTATTATAAATCATTGAGACTAACCTTTATTCGTACATATAAATTCAATGTTTGATATAAATGAGAATAACCTACTATAGATATAAAAATAATAAAATAAATGAAAACTGGTCTAATTTTTTTTAGGTACTACGAGTAGATAATTTTTAGCATTTCCGGGTAACAGATATAAATGTCAAATTTACATTGAATTGGTATTGGGGAGTTGGATAATTTTCTCTTGATTATCCCTTCATTAAAGCAATCTTTTCCTGATATACTCTTCTGCAAAGATGATGTACCCAGTATTCTGCCCAATATTCCTGTCCCTTATTATAAGCATTTGTTGTGACTGTTTGAAATGCGTTTCTTAGCGTGCCACCAAAAAAATCTGTGAATGGAATTTCAATTCCTTCATAATTATCAAGTTTATTAATATATTCTTTTGTACAGTTATCCTCCTCTATAATCACCTCCTATATAATCACAACCCCTATATAATCACATAAGTTTGTATTACATTTTTTTTATAATAAA